GTGTGCACATGGCATGAAGTGGAGACACAGATAATTGAGCTGGGAGACAGCCCTACTAAGGAGCCAGTTCTGGTATCCCTGCCTGCCCCTGCCCCTCGGTGTGCTCAGGGGGAAGAAAGAGGGCTTTTGTTTCCTTCATTGCAGAGCTAATCTCCTTCTGACACCCAGGGAGGTGGAAGGGGTCTAATACCACAGTTCCTTGGAAGGATTCTTCTCCATTTGTCTCCTGGAGACAGATGGACAGGGTTGCTCTGGTGTGACTGACAGCCCAGGCAGTAGGTGACCAGCTGCCATAGGTTGGATTTATTGCCCCACCACCCTTCTGAGGGCTCTGGGCAAACTCTTCTGAAGATTTCAGGAGAGATGAGGGAGCTTGGAGCGTGCAGCTGCTGGATGGGGACTCAAACAGGGGGTTTAGCCTCAGCTGTCAGGTTCTCCACACCCAGAGTGGAAGCAGGAAGAACCATCATGGTGAGCTCCTCAGGGCAGAGTGGTCTCTGAGGGACTCTGGTCAAAGGCCTTTGGTGAGTGCATGTTTAGAGTCCAAAAAAAAGCCCTGTGCCCCTTTCTGATGCTTATGGTTGGCTGGGTTAGAAAATGGGGGGTTTTTTTAGAAAGTGAAACACTCCTTCTGGTTTCTAGATTTCCTACAGCTCTGTCTCTGCCTTTACTGGCCACAAATCTGCTGGTATCACCTTATGCTAAGGAAGCATCTGTGCCAGTCGTGTTCCTGACAGGATCCTTCATCCCCCCAGCAGGAGTTTTTCCCTTGTTTCCCTCCCCTTTTCTGCTGTGCAGACTGGGATCTCCACGTGTGCTCCCTCACAGTGCCCACCAAGCCTCTGTCTCTGTTGTGTTCACAAAGTGCTTTGGATTCTAATTCCCTTTTTTTTTTCCCTTTTTTTTTTGGTACTATACTTAGCTCTCCACCCTTCAATTCAATTGCTGGTAAAGCCAGAAGGCATCTAAGCTTTCCCTAAGCACTTTGGTGTCATCTCTACTCAAGCCCAGGTCCTGAGAGACACTCAGGAGCTCTGCAGCAGCCTCTGCCTGGTCTCTGTCATGATATATCACCTCTTCTGCTCATCTCAGAGACCTGGGCCCATCAGGCACCTCAGGCTCCACATAACAGTGCAGCCAAACACGAGGCTGCTCATTTTGGGGGCAACCTGGGTGATAGTTCTTCTTCCAATGTAAGACAGAGGCTCAGCCTAGGAGCTCAGAGGCTTTTCTGCATTAGGACTCTTGCCCTTCTCTTGAAGCTGGTCCCCTTGGTAGGGTAGAGCAGCTGTTGGTTTCACCTGGCCAGGGTTGGTTTGTAGAAGAGCTCTTTTGGGGGAGCTGTGGGAGGGGGACTCATCCTGCACAGCACCCCTTCCTGCTGCCCTTGCTCAGGAGGGTGGTGTTGGTTGGCACACTCAGGCTCTCACAAAGGCCCAAGAATGTTGCTTTGTCCAGGGTGCCAGAACCATCCTTGTCACACTGAAGAAAAGCCTCCTGAATGTTCTTCTTGTCCAGGTGCTGGTGGAGCTTCAGCTCCTCCTGAGCCTGCATAATGAATTCATCCAGTTCCTGCTTGCTGGCCCCAAGTGTGGGGATGGCTCTGGAGAAGAAAGGAAAAATGGGGCTTGGTGGAAAAGCTGCTTCTGGCAGCCTTGCTGTGCCACTTGTGTGCTGGCTGCCCACCACAGCTGCCCAGGCTCTGCTTCTGGCAGCTTTCTGGCCTTGGTTTTTATGGCAGGCTCATCTCAGCTTGGACGTGGAGATGAAGCTCAGTCTTGATCTTGGAGCACCAGGTAAACTCCCTCCCCTTTGCAAGGCATTTCCCCCATTCACCTTTTGTCTCCAAGTGCTCTGGGGCAAGGAGGATTTTCTCGTGTGCTCCATCCAGCCCCAGCAGCTGTCTGAAACTCTGGTTTCAACCACAGCCCCTGAACTATCATGACACTGATAGTTTTAGACAGAGTGTTTTAATAGCCTTGTTACTAGGTCACCCAGAATGGGTCCAGACAGCTAAAAAAAGAGGATGTGGTCTGGGCTCTGATGGGCTGAGAGGCACAGCCAGAGCAAATGCAAAGACCAGACTCCACCGAGGCTCTGCTGAGCCTGCAGCTGCCTGGTGGCCCATGCAGGTCCTGTTAGCAGCATCTGCCCCAGGTCACTGCTCTTCTGGGAAAAGGTGACTGTGTCCTTTGAGCTGAAAGCATCTCTGCTGCTGAGCCAGAGCTGTCCCACGAGGTTTTGGGGGAGCAGCAGCCACGATGTGATAGCTACACACTTGACCCCCTCTGTGTGTGTGCAGACAGGGGCTCCTGGAGGTGAATAACCACCCGAGCAGCCCCCAGGCAGCAGGTGGGAGCCCCCAGAAGCTGCTGGAAATGCCCTTAGCTGTCAACCCCGGGTCTTTTTTCAGCTCCACAATGCCACCCTTTGAAGCCTTACCTGTTGGCAGCCTCCTTTGCCACCTGGCGGGAGTGAAAATGATCCCTCAGGGACTGCAGCACTGCCGTGGGGAATCTCTCTGCATTGCTCTCCATGTAATTAAGCACATATTCATCAGCGTCCGTGATAACGAACCTGCGGCCGAACACTGGGGGAGTTAAAGGACCCAAAACATGAGCTGAACTCATTCTGTGGAGGTCGTAGCTCTTCTAACAATGTGAAAGGTGCAAACGTTGACAGTAACAGAGTTAGACCAGTGTGCCCCAGCTGGTGATGTGCTGAGAGCCAGCAGGAAGAGTTCTCTCATGGAATCACAGCATTGTTTTGGTTGGAAGAGATGTCAGGATCATCAGGTCCAACAATTAACCCAGCACAGTCAACTCCATCACTAAACAAGTCATACCAGGAGCAGCTGAGGGAGCTGGGGGTGCTAAGCCTGGAGCAAAGGAGGCTCAGGGGAGACCTTCTGGCTCTGCACAGCTCCTGACAGGAGCCTGGAGCTGAGTGGGGGTTGATGTCTTCTCTCAAGGAACAAGTGATAGCACAAGAGGAAATGGCCTCAAGTTGCACCAGGGGAGGCTTAGGCTAG